TGAGTATGGAACATATGCTTGGGGAGAGGGTCCCTGTTCAAAGGGAACACTGACTACTGAATTCTATTCTTGGAGAGTTACAAGGCACATCAGTCCACAAAGGCTCTGAAAAGTCCTGCACTGATGACCTCTAATTTTGTGCTACATACTTTTTACCAAATGTATTTGGTAAATGAGCATGACCTTCCCCAATTTCGTTATTTTTTCAATGAGCATTTGTGAATGCTGAGCTGTGAAATACAGATCATCAAAGTTTAGTGACTTGCCAGAGTCACGCAGACTACTGGTGCTAGAGATGGTGCTAGATTTTATAAATCTGACCCAAACTGGCCTTGCAGGTCTCAGATTGCAGTCACTGGCTTGAAATACCTTTCACTGGACTGAATTTTCCTACACATCCTCGAATCACATGCTTCCATGTTGCTTCTGAATGGTTGACCTGGGTTCTGAGCTTCAGTATTAATGTTCTCTGACCTTTGGTAAATACCAAGGAATGGCCATTAAGAGGCTCCCTCTGTTTTTAAATCCACCTATAAGGTAGATGTCACCAGAAGGGGAGTTTCTGTGGATGTGGATGGCTCAACAGTCTCAAATCAGTATTCTTTTTTCCTCTGGCCATGACTACCTACTTAACAAAACTTAAGAGTTCAGAAAACAGAAGTGAACTTGGGAAAAACGTAGCTATCAAGCCTGAAATTAGGGTAACAGTATTGACAACTAACATTTGTAGAGCACGAAGTTTGTGCCAGGCCCTGTTCTAAATACTTCACATCCACTGGCTCCTTTAATAATCATGGCTCTGCACGTGTAAGTACTATTAGCACACCCATTTTATGGGGCAATAAACTGAGATACTGAGAAGTAACTTGGCTCAATGTCACATGCTGGTACCTTGCAGAGCTGGGAAGTTAACTCAGCCTGACTTCAGAGCTGGTGCTTTTAACTACCATGCTATGAAAGGAATAACAAGAATAATAAAAAGAATACCCAGCCTTTATGGACCTCATCTGATGTGCCCATGAATCATTCCACTTAGTCCCCCCACAGCCCCATGAGGTCACCTCTCTTGCTATGATGCGAGTTCCACAGGGGAGCTAACCAAAAGGCAGAGAGAAGTCAGGAGCCTCACCGAAGTCAAGTTGTGGGGTGTGGGACACAGCCAGGACTGACTGCGGCCTCGTCCAGGGCTCTTAACCCCTCCGTGGCACCAAAATGTTTTTACAACACACTCAAAACTCTCAAGACATTTTCTTCTCTTTTTAATCTTTGTGGTCATTTCTGTGAATAGCAATGTTTTTGCAGGAGAAGCCAAAAAGAAAGAAAAAAAAAATCAAACCCATAAGAAATACATTGCAGCTATGAACCCCCCTGGGGTGAGCTTAAAAAAAGAAAAAGAACAACCATGCAAAGGTTGAACGAATGCTGTGAACTTTTCTCTTTTACATTTATCGTACATTCAGTGGAGGGGCAGTGTTATCTCAACCCAGGGCCTTGTTGGGGCTGTGGCCCTGTGGAAGGTTCTGGAAGTTTATGAGATTAGGTAGAAGCCCAGGGGGAGGCATCCCGGCTTATCTACTGCTTGCTCTGTGATCTTACATGAGCCACTCTGCTTCAGGACCTCAGTTTACTCACCTGTAAAATGATAGGGTGGTTCCTACTTATGTTTTCCCTTCTACAAAATTATCCTTTGGATTCTTGGGAAGGAAAAAGACTCATTCTGGCTTCTTAGACATGGACCAATTTCACTCCGAGTCAGTGCTTTCAGGCCTTAAACTCAACCAGTTTCAATTTCCCTCTTCATTCCTTTCTTCCTCTGAAAAAACTAGGCTCAACCAACAGCTTCCCATTCTGAAATGCCCACAGAGCAGTTGGAGAAAGTTTATTTCTCCTCTGGAACAACTTGGGGGAACAAAAGTTAATAGGAAGCACATGGGAATGGTGTGTGAGTTTTCTGTGTGTGTGCGCTTGAAAAAAATACTTAAGGAGGAATATGTCAGGCTTGCAAAATGCCTGGGCTGTCTCAAGAGCAGTTTATGGCAATTAGCATCAGACTGAAGGCAGTTAATTGGGACAAAGTCCAGCTGCTGCCGGAGCCCTTCTGGCATCTGGGCCTTGAGGATGATGAGAAAATAACCTGGATTATTCCCATGGTTGGGAGGGCACAGAGCAGGAGATGTTTTTTTATTTGTGAGGGGCTGGTGGGGCTTGAAGTGTGTGGTGGGGGTAGTGTCTAGGCCAGGGCTCATCCACGGGAATCACTGCCTGGATGAATCTACAGAGGGCAGGATGGTGTGGGGGTTATGTGCCTGTGCACTCTGGAGTGCAACTGCTGGGCTTGAAATCCCACTGCCATAGCCATGTGACCTTGGGCAAGTTACTTTACCCTTTGTGTCTCAGTTTCTCCACCTGTAAGATGGGGATAATGACAGAACCTATGTCATAGGGCTATTGGGAGGATTAAGGGCAATGGTGTACACATGGAGCTTATGATGGTTATCTGGAATCCTAAAGGAGTCCAGAAAATAGCTCTCGGAGGAAACAGCACAGATTCTGGAATTCTAGAAACCTAAATTGGAAGCTCTGAACACTTAATGGCCCTGTGACCTTGGGCAAGTCATTTCCTCTCTCTGAGTCCCGCTTTCATTGTATGTTAAGCAGAGATGATGATGCCTACCTCCTGGTTGCTAAGGACCAGAGAAGAAATAGCAGAGTCTGTATGTCCTGGTTCAGGGAGACTCAGCTTCCAATCTCATCTCCCTTTACTTACTATGCTCAGATTCAAAAGTCTCCTCTGGGGTTTCTCAACACTGGGAGCCTTTTCCTGCCTCCGGGCCTTTGCTCTTGTGTTGCTCCCTCTGCCCAGGCTGCCCGTGTCCAGCTACTCAGGCTAGCTCTGCTTTTCACGGTTCAGTTCTCTCTAACCCCCTGGGTAATGTCAATCACCATTCCCCTCCTCACTGCCCTCACATGGCCCTGGTTTTGTCTTTCATAAGCTTTATCAAAACCTGTAAGGATCTATCCATTTGTTAATTGATTATTGTCTGTCTTTCTCCATGAGGGAATTATCTTTGTTGACTGTGGTGTCCCTAGGGACTAAAAGGGTGCCAAGCATTGAGCTGGTATTCAATAACATCCAGTGAATGAAGATGGATGCAAGGATGGATGGGGAGTAGGTGGATGTGAGAATGGGGGAGGGTGGACTGTGTTTGCTGCTCGACCTTGAAGCCTCAGAAGCCCTGAGGCAATCAGCTCCTATTTGCAGAGTGAATAACTGGTTTGAGATGGACTAATTTCCAAGGTCAAATTCAGTGTCATACAGGCCTTATTGTCAGATTTAGTATCATAATTCACTCCCCACTTGGGGATGGGTCCCAGAACCTTGTTCTCTTTAGTGGGACTCAGAAAGGTCACTGCAGGGAGACAGAGGGGACAGCAGAAGCAGGGAAGGCAGGAGAGTGCCATGGCACAGAACTTGGGCTTTGGGTGAGACTGGAGGTGGGATTCCACTAGAGCCCTAACAGACTCAGTACATTGTTTCCCATTGCACCTGCAGGAAAATCTCAACTCTTTGTCCTGATGTTGGGCCAATCAATCATTCTCTCTATGCCTCAGTTTCCTATTCCATAAAATAGGTATTATTTTATTATTTTAAAACAGTATTAACACTTCAGAGTGTTGTGAAGATTGTATAAGGTGATCCATACGACACCATGTGCGTGGTCATTATTAGCTGATGGTGTCACCCACAAACTCTGCTGCAGGACTTCGCATGGGAGCTGTTCCAAGGGCTGGCCATTGATGCTCATCCCTCCCTTTCTCTGCACATGTCCCTAAGATTATTTGCTGTCCCTTCACAATGTTTTTCCCTGAAAGGCTGCCCTGGATATCCATTTTGATTGCTTCCTTAATAAAAGAAGATGGAGTGACAATACTTGAGAACGGTTTTTTTAAAAGAAAAGTGCAATTACTCATTAGCCCATGGCCTTGTCATTACCCCTTCATTTTTACATATTACTTTTCAGACCCTGAATGTTCTTTTCTACCAGGTTTCTCTAAAGGAGAAATAAAACAAGATGAGAATCCCCTAAATGACTGCCATCAGCCCTCTGCTCCATGCATTAGCCCCATCCTGCTCCCAGTGGGACTGCAGAGTAGAGCTGGGTCCTTGGATGGTAAAAGTGGAGATAGGCACAGGAGAATCCAGAAAGCCAGTTTCTCAGGGTGTGGAGTGGGGGTTACACACTGAAGTTCTTCCCTTCCTTTCTACAGCCACCCTATGGGAACGCAGAGCCACAAACCTCCTACCTGGAATAACAGCTCCTTTCCCTGTCTATCCCCAACCCCCAGCATTTCTCGGAGTCTCCAATGGACTTGCCTGTCCCACCATACTTAAAACCAAAGCCCACTCCTACCCACAGCCCTCAGGACCATGCACTTCTCTCTCTCCAAGACTCTCTTCTCCCACATCCCACTGACCCTGCTCTCGCCTAGCTGGTCTCCACTCTGTGCCTCACACACATCAAGACATTTCCAGTCATACAGCTTTTGCATTACTTAACCCCTCTGCCTGGAATGTTCTTCCTCCGGGTCTGCACGTGGATGGCTCTGACTCTCCTTTTGGGTCTCTGTCCAATGTTAAATCTTAAAAATCTTCCCTGATGACTCTGTCTAAACTTACACATCCCAGATTTCCTGACCCTTCAACTGCTCATGACTCTCTATCCAAACACTGTTATTTGCTTCATTGCACTCAACCCCTTCCAAAACTAGTCAGTTTATCTGTTACCTTGTTCACTGTCAATCTCCCTTCTGCCATGTATTTGCCACGAGGGTAGATCTCCTATCTATTCTGTCCACCACTGTAACTCCACTACTTGAGATAGATCCTGGCACATAGTAGGTGCTCAATAAATCTGCTGAATAAATGAATGAATGACTGGACACCCAACTCAGGCACTGCCTGAGAGATGGGCAGGGAGGGGCCACAGCACCACACTAACCGTGCATCTGGTAGGTGTATGGGCTCTGTCCAGTGGGTGGGGTGCTGAAGCTGGAGCCGTAGCTGAGGAATCCACTCTGGCTGGGGGAATGGTTCAAGCTGTCTTCTGTCTTGATGCCTTGGAGGGAGGAAAAAGAAGCACCAGGGACACATGATTAGGATGCGTCCTTGTCATCTGCTGAAGAGCTACTGAATCAAGACAGCATGTCATTTTATCAGTTTCTAAGCGAGGAGTCGTAAACTGGTGGCTTGTGGGCTGAAGTTAGCCTACAGTTGTATTTTGCTTGTCCTGCATATTTTCAAGGAAAATCTGAAATTAATTGCTTTTGTTTAATAAATCAGGACGTATCCACCAAAATATGGATTTACAGCTTCTCTTGAGCAACAAAATGGTCTAGCAATACCGTGTGTGCATTCCCAGGTGATGACAGACTGGCTCCAGAGGTTCTTCATTTCGTGTGTTTCCCAGGTCAGCGTGGAACCTGTATGGCCTCCAAGACACTGAGGCTGGTTTCAAGGTGCTATTTTCTCACTGCAGTTGTACTGACTTTTTTTTTTTTAACATCCTAGAGCACTATTAAAATTAGGGAAGGGAAAGGCAGGTCAAGAGGGCTTTAAGCACATGTGGTCAGCTTCGTGCTTTCTGCCTGGCCACCAGGCTCCTTACAAAAAGTTTTCTGACCCCTCTTCTACATAGAGAAATGTAGAGGGAGGATAAACACCAAAAGCAGAGGTGTGGGTATTTTTGAGAAGAAAGAGAGATATAACCTTCCTTTATTTTTTATTTTTTAAGTTGGGCGGTCAGTTCATGGGTGTTTGTAGTGTTATGCTTCTACATGTTTCTTTATGCTTCTTTAAGTTGCTACCTATTCTTAAGTGTTGCTTAATAAATTGAGAAAAAAAGACTCAGTATTCCTAACTTCCTTGCCTCTAGTTTGCTCAATTGTGTTATTTCCCTGTAGCTATTTAAACAAAGGTAAATAATGCTATTTGCCAAGGGGCAATGAGAAAAGTTTCCTAACAAGATTCAGTAAGGTTTGTCCAGACGATGAGCAAACACTGCTTGCTTGGGCATGGGCCTATGTGAAGGGAAACAGCTTTTCATCCTACCTGTCATTATTCAGTGACATCTGGGTGTGTGTGGCAACCTGGCTCCTACTGCACTGATTGAACTTGGGCTGGCCCTGTGAACTAAGCTCTTCATATAGATCAGGGGTTGACAAATTATGGTCCATGAGCCAAATCGGCCCACTGCTTGAGCAAATAAAGTTTTATTGGCACACAGACACACCCATTAGTTTATATATTGTCTGGCTGTATTCATGCTCCAATGGCAGAAGTGAATAGTTGTGAGAGAGACTGCATAGCCCACAGATCCTAAAATATTTACTATCTGGCCCTTTACAGAAAAAGGTAGTTGACCTCCTATGTAGACTTTCTCATTTAATCCTCACAACAACAGTGAGGACAAGCTTAGTATCACTCCACCTGGAATGAGGAAACCGAGGTGGTTTACCCAGTGTTTCAGGACAAGCAAGCAGCAGAGGTGGGATGTGAACATGCCATCTTAACCACTGACGCTGTGTGGTCCGAGAACAGACCCTCTGAAAGTAACTGAGACTGTACGATGACTTTGAACCTAGTTATTTTCCACCTGATGCCATATTTAATCTGGGAGCAGAGCTATTTTTCTCTTTCAAGCTGAAAAATAATTTGGCTTCATTTTTCTTGACTGTCAGCCAGGTTGGGTAACTTACCTGTGATTGTATCACAAGTCTTCTAGGACAGGAGGGACAGAAAGTTAGAAAAGATGCCCACACCTATTGGCCAAGGTCTGTCACAGCCATCCCCCAGATGTCCAGAATGCAGAATGCAGGCTCCGGCAGCAGAGGCCGGCAGGTAAGGGCTTGGATTCCAGAGCTGGCTGCCTGGGTTTAATTCCACCTCTGCCACCAACCAGCTGGGTGACTCTGGGGCAGTTGTGGACCCTCTCTGGGACTCCATTTATCTATCCCTCAAGAGAGGATGATGATGGGGCCTTCCCTGTGGGGTTGGGCGGAGGATTAAAGGAACTAATGGACACAGAGCACTGAGAACTGTGGGTGGCAGCGACTCAAGAGCGGTGACTATTCCCATCAGCCTAACTGATGCCCCACAGGACTTGGCACTCCTCCTTCCAGAACTGCGCTTGAGTTTGTCTGCTTCTGTCTGTCCACTGCCCTGCCCAGGCCTCCACCAGTATCCCACCCCAGACCTTATCAGTTCCCCAGCCGGCCTGCCTGTTCCTCCCTTTGCTTTCCTCCAATCCAACCTCCCTATGGCAGCCAAAGTGGCTATAAAAACCCAGGTTGTATCATATAGCCCTCAGCTTAAAGACCTGCCAGTGAGTTCCTGTTCCCTTGGAGGAACATCCCAAATCCCTTCCAGTCCTCTATGGCTTTGCCCACTCCGCCCACCCCATCCCCCACAGTGCTTCAGCCACTGGGCTTCTTGAACTGGTAGAATTCCCTCCGCATGGCTGGTCCCCTCTGCCTGGACGCTGTCCCTCCTGGGTTTGTACATAGCTCAGTTCTCAGCTGAATCAGCTTCTCATCTGAAAGGCCTTCCCTGGCACCGGAACCTAAGGTAAGTCACCCTTGCTCTGTTCTCTCTCACAACATGCTCTTCCTTTATATCATGCATCTTAATTTGAAATAAGACTTGAACATTTTTTAATGTAATTTTTTTCTCCTTCTAGACCAGGGATTTGCAAACTCAAATGTCTTTGGGAGACAGGCAGACAATTTAAGCAAGTGACATGGGCTGGGTGGGGACCATGGCAAACAGGCTAACAGGGACAGCCCTACTGGGTGCTACCCACTTCCAGCACAAAGAAATATGGGCCCAGGGCTTCCCAATCACCTGATTTTTAAAAAAGACATTAGAAATGTGAATTTTTATATAAACTTTTCTCATGTCAAAATCGGCAATTATTTTTTAAATGTCAAGTATATTAAAAAAAAAAGTCCAATCGGCCTTCACTTTTCAGCCTCTGGTCTAGACTATAAGCTCAACAAATACAGGGCCTGTTCTGTTTCTTTGACCACTGTATGCCTAGCATGTGAGCCAATGCTGAATGAATGAATGAACGAACACAAGAACAGGGTATATATAGAGAGGGAGAAGAAGGGAAAAAATACACAAGATTCAGGGAACTCAAATCACACCATCTAGTTGGGAAGATTAGATGAACATATTAACTTAACAAATAAAGAAACTGAGGAGAAGTCAGAGGCAGCTGGATCTGGAAGGGAGGTCTCTGGGCCTACCAACATTATGTTCTCTCCACTGGATCGCACAGAGTTGCATGGATCAGAAAGCCATCTGCCTGGACATCTGTGATTTCTGCTCACCTCCCTTCTCCTTTGGGAATCACCCCTTCCCCCATTCAGATCAGTTTTCTTGAGTGAGCTTGGCCTGACCCCTGGTTCCATGGGTGGATATGTGGCCAAATGTGGCCATCTAGAGCATTTCATTGTCTGGGTCAGAGACGGCCATGGGGTTCCAGTCAGAGAAATGTCTGAGACAGTGCGGTACATCCTAGACAGGAGTGGCTCTATCTTTTTTTGGGAAGTTACAGCTTAGAACTGCTAGGGCTTTCGAAAGTGGGCACCACAGTGGGAGAGCCTGCCTGAGAGGAAGCCCACACAAAGGGAAGCAGAGAGACTAATTCCTGATATTATCACTTCAGTATCCAGATTCAACCCTGCCTGAAGGTTGTGCCCTAAGATGTTTCATTTTCAGTTATGTTTGCAATGAATGCCCTTATTTTCTTAAACGAGTTAGCACTGAATTTTTGTCATTTGCTGCCAAAAGACTTTGGTTGACTTATTAGTTAGGATGTGAAGGACGAGTATGAATAAAAGCCATAAGCAGTATGATACTCAGTTTTATGTGTCAACCTGCCTGGATCACAAGACATCCCAGCATCTGGTCCAACATTATTCTGGGTGTCTCTGTGAGCACCTGGATCTAGCCATACCTGAGGTGAGTTGTACCTCCTGATTTCCCAGCATGTGAATCATTAAACTTCCATTTCCCTAAGCCAGCTTAGGTTAAGTTTCTTACTCTTGCAATCAAAAGAGACCTCAATATAGTCTGTAGAACTCAAACCATAGTAAAGTGTCTGTCTGTCCTTCTCTATCTCTAATCCAAAAGCAGGCTGGCTGCCTTTATCATTTGGCATTTAACTGAGGCAATAGAGTAGAAGAAAGACCATGGTGTTGGGGACCCCGGGGGAAGGCAAGGGCTTGGTCTGTTACTCACTGTAAGAAGGGATCCCGTAGGCTTGTGCTGGAGGTGGGTAAGCCGTGTAGGGGGCGGCCTGCTGGATCCCCGTGCTGTACTGTGTCTGGCCGTAGGCCGCCATGGCTGTGGGAGGCTGGCTTGGCAGGACACGTGCGCAAGGTCTGCATGGAAGGAGAGAAGATTAAATCTCTGGGCCCAGCCCTTTCTGCCTTTCCCCTTATTTTGGTATCAACACCACCATTTTCCTCTGGGTGTTTCCAAACAGGCTTTCCAAGGCAGGGATAACAAGTGTTTGCCAAACCCCATTTCATTTTCTTCTTCTTGGGCACCAAGAAGATTACATTTCCTCTCTCCCTTTCAGTCAGATTTGACCATGTGACTGGATTCTGCCCAACAGAATGTATAAGGCACTCCCAGCTCTGGCCAATAAAACCATCCCCTGTGACCCTCCTGGCCTCTCTCTTCTTTTGGCAGCAACTGTCAAGGGCACAGGTTGAGATGGCAGAGCTATTATTTATTTGTACACGTCCCGAGCCTTGAGGAGAGCTGTGCTGGAGAGTTTCATCCCATCCATCTTGGACGTAGGAAGCCAACCTTTTTTGGTGGTAAGCCACTGAGACCAGGGTTTACTGATTCCTGCAGCATAGCCTACCCACCCTGACTATCTATGCTGATTTAGACACCTCCCCAGTTGACTGTAGGACTGTCAATCAAGATGCCTTGCTTTAAGCCAAGGGGTGGGCAGATGATTCAAGATCATCCAATCAGACTGTGTCCTGGGAATTTAAATCTTGGGTTGAATAATTCATTTGAGCATCTACACTCTAAAGAACCTGCCTATTGTTTGGATTCCAGAAGCTGTCCTATTTTTGGTCTTTCTCAAGGCTTGATTATTCAACTTTTGCTTACACTGTGAGCTACTCCAGATCTTCCAAGAAAGGTCCTTTGGGCTTACATCAGCTGGAATCCGTTTCTGTTACTTTCAACCAAAGAACACACATGGATTCTGCACTCCATTTGAATGATGAATAACAGGTTCCCTGAAGGGCTAGGATTTAATGGGCCACTTACCCAAGACATCTGTAATACAACGACTGCAACCAATCGTGTTCTTACCATAGTCTCAGAACTCTGTCACACAGGCCCAGTATCTGCATCAGATGTCATCAGATGCACACATTAACTTCCTGGAGTAGGTACTCTTATAACTAGCATTTTAGAGAAGAGGAAACCAAAGCTCAGAGATCTGAAGTCACAGCTAGAGAATGGGAAATCTAGAATTTAAACTCGGGAGTCTGACTCCAGAGCCCGTACCTGTTACCATGAAGCTTTGCTGCTTTTCACTTATAGAAATGGGATTGGCCCAGCCCTACAGGCAGCAATAAAGTCAAGGTGGGCTGTTCTGTCAGGAAGAGGTCAAGATTGTGGACCAGGAGCCAGATGCAGCTCATGGGTCTGTGGATATAATTCCTTTGGCCAATGCAGCTATTTATTTTTTAAATTTGAATTCATTGTCAGTACTTTAAAACTAGGAGGTTACACACACACACACACACACACGCACACACACACACAATTTCCCCTTCTCTTATAAAGCAGATGCTTTGGCAAGCCTAGGTCTGCACTTCTTTGCGGTGCTATCAGCTGGATTTGAGTGGTTCCATGAAGGGCTATCATACTCTGTCTGCCTGAGTCCCTACTGGGCCCACCTCATTTATGGATAAAAACAGCTAACAATTCTTGTATCTATCACATTCCAGGCAATGTCCTAATCGCTCTGGGTGGGTCACTCATTCAAACCTTACAACAGCTCTGACAACCCTGGAGGTAGTTGCTCTTCCTTTTCCCTATTTTATGGATAAGAACGCTGAGGCAGAGAGAGACCGACATACTGGAAGTGCACAGCTGGTACAGCCTTCGAAGGCCTCTGGGGGCCATGCCTTGACCACTCCACTATGCCACCCTCTCCCTTTAGCTCACTTACTGGGACGCTAGAGCCATCTGCACTTGACATCCTGTATTTAACTACTCTAACTGGCATGTTTACCAGTAAAGGTTAATGAGATCCCCAAATCTGTATCTGAATCCATTTTGGTTAAATTACTTTAGTTAAAACCTGCTTGTTTCCAGAGTTCCTCCTCCATATGAAGCCTCATGACAGGTATGAGAGAGATACCGAGGTTTATGGAGCTACAAAAAGGTGTTCTCACGCTCTGCTTCGTTTCTGACCACTACTGTGATGAAGGGTGGAGAACTTGTTCCAAAATGCATAGAATCTCATATGAACTGGACATGCCAGAACCAACACCGGAAGGCATTTCATTGGCCAACATTCCCACTCCACGGGGCGCCTCAGAACATATCCAGTGAGTCTGGACTTTGTGCTGAGCAGAGGACCTTATTTGAAAATGTTCTCAATTTACACCTGTCCTTAGAAGGTGGAAATTTGAGATGATCAACTCCTGCTTCCCATCAAAACCAATTTACCCTATTCAGATTCAATGGGGGCTAAAATGAAAACCCGGAGAAAAGGTAGTGGAACTCTTTAACCCTGAGGCTTTAAAGAAAACTTAGGAAGGTTTAACAGATCTCAGTTGCTCCTAGCAATCCCCAAGACATCTAGAGGGAAAGGGAGCCTGAGAAAGTATGTTCCTTATAAACAGCTTCTCCAGTGTTGTCAGGGGAGGGGTGTGTCCACATATGGCGAAGCTGACCTTCTAGACAGAGGGCACACTGACCAAAGGCCAGGCCAAGCCAAAGCCAGGGCTTCTCACACAACGGGGCCTCACTGGCAGCTGCCTCCCAGGAAGCTGTGTCCATCACAGCTCTGCCCCTTGCACACCTTTGGTGGAACATTTCTGCTGCCCTCTGTGTTGAGCTCACTGATGAACGGTTGTCTTCTCCACAGACTGGAAACTGTCTGAGGGCAGGGGCTGTGTCTCATTCACCTCTGAGTCTCCAGGGCTTGGTAGGGGATTGGGCATTGAGCAGTGCTGGGTGAATGTTGCAGCAGGAAGAGAGATGAGAGGAGGGAGGTGGAGGGAGAGAGAGAATGGGAGGGAGAAAGGGGCGGAGAGGAAAGGATGGGGGAAGTAAGAGAGGAAGACAGGGAAGAAGGGAGGGAGGGAGGAATTGAGTCTCTGCAGGAAAGAAAAGGAAGCAAAGACTGACAAGAAGACCAAAGAGAAGAACGAAGAGATTCACAGCCAACACTCAGAATACTGTCCACGTTCTAAGCACGTTTAACGTTTCAGCTCATTTCAGGGGCAGGTATCCTGACTCTCCCCCTTCCTGGACGGGGAGACTGAGGCCCAGCTGCCTGCCCAAGGTGGCTCAGCTGGTAAGTGCTGGCGCTGGGATCCCTCTCCGGGGCCCCTGGCTCCAGAGCCTTGGCCTCCGAGGAAGAGGAAGCGAGAGGGCCCGCGAAGGAGCCAGGGCGAGAGAACTCACCTTGCGAAGAGCGGGGACACGCTCAGAGGGACTGATGTGGGGATGCCTGCGGGGGGGAAAGAGACATGTGAAGGGCTGCAGCCGTCAGAGCGGTGTTCCGTAGAAGTGGTGGCTTCAGATGACGACCTAAGCGGGGAGAAACTTAAGAGAGTTGCTGCTGGGCAGTTTCTCAACCACCAAAGCTTATCCAAGGCACAATAGATCTTAGCCTTTTCCTTGAAAATCCTTTCTGGTGAGCTTTGTCTCCAGGTACTAACTGAAGGACTACATAGAAGAAGCTGTAGTGTCTGGAAACAAGAGTGGAGTCCCTCCCTCCAACCCATTTGACAGGTGAAGAAACCGAGGCCAAAGGGACAAAAAGAAGGTTCTTGAGCCAGGTCACATGGCTAGATGGCAGTACAGCTGGGACCTGGGACCTGAGCCAGGTCACCTGACTCCTCAGCTGGTGCCATTTCTACCCCTGGGTGGAGAACCACCCGCTTCCCTCCTCTAAGGCACCCCCAAAGATGCCACAGCAACAGATACTGCTTGGTTCTGATTACCCGACATCTAGTTCCTTTCTCCCGATGACATCACCGTGGTGTCCCTCCCCTCCCTCTGCAGTTTCAGTCTTCGGGGTCCTGGTGGGGCTGGCTCAGCACTTAGGGGAAGACACGCCTGGGATCATCTCCTAGGCTCCAGCTAGCATGTGCAGCAGGGAGATGGAGGAGGCCTGAGCTCCCGATTCAAGTGTATCCCTGCATATTCTCTATCTACCCTGGGCACACCACATCCATCAGTGGGAGACACTCATGCAGGAGGTGACAGAAAGGTGACAGAGTTAAGTGGGAAAGATGTTTTCCTGAAGATACCTTTACAAATGGGCAGTTCCCTGGGGAGTATTTTGTGCTATATCATCTTTAACAGCACAACTCAAAGTCCTCACTGTGCAGCCCTAGCCAATACTAGATAACATGCCTGCTGATTGCACCAACCTGCCGATCCACACGCCCTGGCCTGGGGTGTTCCCTGTGCCTCCTGAGAAATGCTCTGAGCCTCTCTCAGGCCCTGAGCTGGAGGCTGGGCAGACCAGCTGCTGTTCCAACTCTACCTCACTACCTGCGAGCCTCTGGGCAGGCTGCTTAGAGTCTGGGCCCTGGAGCTCCCTCTTGTGAAATGAGGGACGCATGAGGCTTAAATGAGAAGGGGGCGAGCACACCCCTCCTTTCCGCAGGGCCTGTTAGATGCTGAGCTCTCTTCTAAGTACTGTCCTGGACTAATTATTTAATCCTCACCATCCTCCCATGAGGAAGGAGGGTTCTATTCATGTCCCCGTGGAGGTACAGGGAGTTTGCGTAACCCACCCAAAGCCACCGGGGTGATAAGGGGTGGATTGGTGATTGGAACTCAGGTGGTCTGGCTCTGGAGTTTATCTTTACAACTAGGACACTGCAGGCTGTGATGACAATCATCAGACTAATAGCAACTGGCATCCAGTTAGAAGGGCACTACGTGCCAGGCCCTGCTTTACCCCACCTGTATACATGACCTCATTTATTCCTCACAACAGTGCCACAGGTAGGCCGTGTCATTCTCCCCACTGCATGGATGAGGACACTGGGGAAGGCTAAGAGCTCTGCTCAAGCCACACAGCCTGTGGGCATGGGAACTGGGACTTGAACCCATGGGCTATTTGAGGCCTGAGTCCATTCCCTTAGACACGTCCCCTGGCTGAGTCAGATTCTGCTGGAGTCCCAAACTTCAGGGTGAGGGTGAAGTCCTGAAATCTTAGAAAGTGGAGCTAGAATCCAACAATAAAATCAAATAGACAATATCGGCATGTATTGTTCATAGCAAGGAGGAAATGGGTGAAACTTCTGTTCCAGGTACAGACAGGAAAGTATGTGTGTGTGTGTTTGTGCGCATGCGTGCCGAATGGCAGTGTAAAAATACATTTCTTACTATGTGTCCTATCAAAAAAAAAGTTGGAACAGCAATGGTCTGACAGCAAGGAAAGCCGCTGGCACACAGAGGGGCTCACAGGAGGTTAGTTTCTCCCCTCGGGCTGTGCTGCCCAAGGCAGGGCCCCCATCCCCCTCTTCACCCTCCCCCAGGACCAGAGAATGAACTGTCTCATTCTGAAGCAGCCACAGTCTCATTATTGGTAAATGCCCGTGATTTGAGTATGTTTAGTAATACATCAGTTACTGAATTAAACATTTTGAATATGTTTTCTTTAATAAATATGTAAATATTCATAAAAATCTAGACCTATGGAAACATTCCTATGGGCTCAGATTAACTTGGCATGCTGTAAATTTGAAGCCTCTCTCCCCCGACCCTCCGGGCCGGGATTGGCAATGCTTGCCCCTCTCCAGCATCCTCTGTTCTGAATTGTTGAGTCATCTGCCTTCCCCACACAGGCAGGTCGTCCTCTCCTATTGTGCAAACCTATGATACTTGTCCATTCCCACCCTGGCAGCCCCTGGGGAAGACTGTGCAAGCAAGAAAATAGGCACTCAGTAGAAGAGATTTCCCTTTTGCTGATTGTGTGATTTTGAAATACACAAGCTTTTATCTTTTTTTCCACTGTTATCTATCTCATTTACCTTTTTTGTCCCAGAAGCCTTGGGGGAATTGAAAACCTAGAGAATGGGTGTATTATATAGGAATGGTCTCCCCCTTCCCTTCCTCCTTTTCTCCCAGGTAAGGACAGGGTAGACCTTACTGAGAATCCTGATGGCAGCTGACCCAGCAGGACTCTCAATTCCTTCCCTTCCCCAGGGGGCCTGGGTGGGACTGTGTCAGGGGTGGTGCTGCCCAGTGCTTTGGGTCCAGAGGTGGGGCAGAGACTGCCCAGGAGCAGAGAGCCTCTGTCTCCCTCTAGTCTCTCCCTCTGGTCCAGGGCTATTAGTTTTCGGAGGTCGTGAGGACCAGGAGGCCCCCCTGCAGTTGAGCCACACATTGTCTGCATATCAGGAAGTGGGCCTGACAGAACGGTCGTGGGGGCAATGTGGAAGGCGGGGGAGTGGGCATCGCTGCTCAAGTCCCAGGAGACAACCTGGTACTCACGGTAGCCCAGATGTCTTCCAGTGAATCCCCCTCCCACCCCTGCTTCACAACTTTCTGGATGCCACTGCATTTGACAGCTCTCTCCAGGTGGCAATCAGAGCAAGACAGATGAGGTGGAGGCCAGGCCAGTGAACTACCCATGCAGCTCAGGAACAATCCTGCCCACATCCAGGGTGGTGCCCTCGGATGTGGGCATGATGCTCTGGACAGCAGCATGGCCATCGTACCACAGCTCCCCAGAGGACAGGAAGGGTGTGCGCTCTGGCCACGCGCCCCTCCATGAGGCCAAAGTGTTATGGACCCTGGCAGCGGGGTGGGGCAAGCATGCTGGCAATCTCGGGGCAGCGGTCATACTTCTCATGGCCACTCCATCACAAACACAGGGCCATCAGCACAAGGTACCAATGACTCTTTGATTCCATTCTTTAAATGCACTCCGAGTCATCAGGGTGGAAAAGACATAATATTTAGCAGCAGCAGCCCTCTCTCATATTGGTGGGATCTGACACCTGGCTGGTGTAGATGGGCTTCCCACTGATCACAGCTTCCTGTCCTCGACCTGGTGAGTGCCACTGAATTTACCATGATGGACGAGGTAGAGGTCAATGGAGGAGTCACTGATGGTGACCTAAATCCATGTTGCCAGTGGTGAAAGCAGCCCCAGGGACCTGACTCAACGTACCCAAACCTATTTACTCCAAGCTGCACCATGTGTCACAGGGGAGAGTGGCTGGCACATGGAAGGGGACAGCTAGCTCTCAAGTGGGGAGGGGCAGACATCCTCTTCTGTTCACTTCTGAATTTAAAGCTCTAAGCCTCCTTTTCCTTCCCAGCTTCCTATAGGTGAAGGGAGAAGAATCAGCTGAACAGATGGGCAGGGCCTCTGGCATGAGCTCAGTCAATCATTGATTGCCATGTACCAGGCACATGCTAACACTACAATAAGGAGCAAAAGCAGCCAGGGTCCCTGCCCTTAGGGGGCTTCTGATTTAGTGGGGGAGATGAACTGCAAACAAATCATTACACAAATAAGCACTTCATTCCAGTTATAACAGAGGCCAAGGAAGAAAGTGGATGGTGCTGAGCAGGGCACTGGAAGCTGAAGGTGCACAGCATTTGCCTGCAGATCTTGTTACCGTGCAGACTCTGAGTGCATTGGTCTAGGAAGCCCCCAGAAACCACACTTGGAAATTCAACACATGTTGATCATGTATCTACTGTGAGCCAGGTCTACAACCTGAGTCGCATAATTTGTAACAGAATGTTTTTTCCAAAGAAAGCATGTGGGCTTAAGGGGTGCGATCCAAATTTAAATCCTGACCATGCTGCAGGGTAAATATGTGACCTTGTGCCTGCCACCTCCTGTCTCCAAGCCTCAGTTTTCACATCTGCAGAATGGGGCAGCATCTCATACCCGTGGGGCTGCTGCAAGGCAGCAGAGAGGTACCTGCCAAATGGTAACTGCTCAACACACAGGAGCTATTACTAGCTTTCCATTCTCCTGGGGCCCTTGCTTAAGCCACTTAAATCTGTGAACCCAATTTGAATGTTCACACTTTTTTGACCTCTCACTGGGAGGATTAAGAAGCTAATGATTCTGAAAACACCAACCACTATTATGTTGGCTAATTGGACCCCAGGGGCTGCTTCTAACTGATCCCTGTGAGATGAGACAATTTCTAGTGCAAGATGTCTTGAGGCAGGTCTTTGCTATGAAAGGGGCAAGACAACAAGCTGTATCAGCTCATGTTCCCTGTGTGGATGGTTTAAATTGCTCCAGACCTGGGGCAGGGACAACAGGAGGTAGCACTCTATTAGGAATCCAGAAGTGTGTGTCCCAATTTCGACTGTCACCAAGTGGCTATGTGACAATGAACAAGTCATTTGTCCCTCATGGTGATGTTCCTGAGGGCTGAAAGGAATGAGGCCAGCATATCCCAGAAGATAAAGATTTTAGGAGTACGTAAATAGATGCTCTTCTATTTAAATCGTCAC